CCAACCCGACTACCGACACCTCGTGTCCGTCTCTACAGCACGTGTTGGTGTACGTACAGTGATCCACTAAGCTTTTCTTCTCCTGAGATTTTGTCGGGTGTTGTTGAGGACGCTGGAGGAATCCGAAATTACTTACTCCGAGTCGAACTTTGAACCATGCCACGATGCGAGGAACCGTGCCAAAATGATGGGTCGATCTTGAGTGGGTAAATTTACAAGTAGGACAGACGGACTCATGCTCTTGGCGTCATTATGCCCAATGATTGGCTATTGGCTGCGACAAAATTCTCCCGCAAGCGGCACTGGGTGGTCGAAGAGAAAAGCAAAAAGATCATCATCTCGCCTCATGTCCAGCTCGGGTGTCGAACCCGATTCTCCACAGTGCATACACTCTGCAGTACGATCCAGTATAGTGGATCCACTGGGCCTTTATTTCTCAAAGTGGTTGATGGATATTGTTGAGAACACTAGCGGCGCAATTAGCGACGCAACGCGACTTTGAAGTCTTCCATGCGACGAACCGTGCGAAAGTGAGAACGACCCACATGACCTGGGCCGTTCCGAGGCTTCTCCTTTCGGTCATACTTGTGCCTCCTGCTCTCACTGCAAAGTCTCGACGCCGATCGGCTGTCAATTTTGAACGGGTTTACAAGTTTCCAGCCTATTGTTCCCGAGATGTGAGCGGGTGTGGATTGCATGAAACTCTCCCCAGTATCGCAAGCGGCGCCGGGTGGCTGAAGAGAAAAGCAAAACGACCAATGTCAACTTTTATGTCATGTTTTTCTGTTCAACAGGAGAAAAACTGCCAGAAGTCCATCCACCCTTCCATCCCCGATGGAAAAAAATACACTACACTGCAAGTCAGGTCTACCGCCATTTTTTAAAATATAATCGCATGATTGAATTCAGTCAACGGACTAATGGCGGATTCCTCCAGTGCTAGGGTTTCCAACAACACCCGAAAAACTCTCAGGAGAATAAAAGCCCAGTGGATCCTACATTGATGTGCGATTGATACAGATCTTAATTAAGAGTCGGGTTCAAGCCCCGAGCTGGAGCATGTATAGGTCGGGATGCCAGGTTTTTTCTCTTTAGGTCTTCTTGCGGCCTCCAGGGGGTCAGATCGATTGGTTTTGGGAAAGAAAATAATACAAGTTCATTGGCCTGACAAAAGCGAAGAAAACGAACCCCGAAACTTGTAAATTGGTGAAGATTTCGTGGAGAAACCGGGGAGACAGAGGAGTAACAAGAAGGGTGGGACTGGGACTCGTCCAATCCCATTCTGATGGCAATGAGTCCCATTTTGTCAGCTTGTCAGTGGGACTCGAGAGATCACAGTGGGACTCGGAAGAAGTGGAACGCGCAGCCAACGCACAGCCAAATGATCATATGATTGACGGTTTGATTGATCTATCGGCAGTATCTCTTTATCAGAACGGTGCAATTCGCGGTACGGTTTATGCACTATCGTAAAACCCTACAAAGTTTGTTTAAACAATTTGCGTCTCAATGTAAAACTGTGTTTAAGCAATGCTTTATTCAATGGTGACCTTGACCAAGGAGAACATTAGGATAGGGGGTTTAAACCTTGGTAGTGAAAAAATAGGGTGTAATCGGTGTTTGGATCAAAATGTAAGGAAAGAGGGTTTAAACAATGTTCAAACACTGTTCAACAGGGCAAATGTAAAAGTTCCAGACACCGAAGGGAGTTGAACTTCAGACCTCCCGGTTTTTCCGCAAATGGAGGGGAGTGACATAACCATTACACCATGGAGCCTATGTATGGGATGGGCTGTTATAGCCTTATGGATGTCTGATTTGAATTTTTTTAAATGGCACTTTCAAATCTCAGCAAATATCATTATATTACTCCCAAACTATACACTAATTTTTTTTTAGTACCATGTAACCACAGTATATAAAAAGAGGGCATGGCAAAGTACTTCCATTACTTCAGTGCCTTTCTGTATGCAACCCCCGTAACATGGACAAGGAAATCCAACGACTTTGTGCCTGGGTTACTGACTACAGATGAAAGACAAACTGATGTCACTTTGCAATTTTGGATGTTTTGGATGCATTGAAGGGAATGAGCATGCGAGAGCCTTCTGAAGTGACCTTGAACTGCTTAAATATCACAGCTCCTCAAGGTGTGATGGACTTATACTTTGACTGAGTAACCTTACCTGCTTTTTGTGCTTTTCAATACATTTGTGCACCAATTTGCCAATGGTCCCGTAGATCAGTTGGATCTTCCTCCATTTCTTGTGGATTGTGTAAGCTTAAGCATATGCAAGTAGTGTGTGTTCAAATCCCACCTTGGGAATTCTTTTGCTTCATGTTTTCAACCTGGTTTGAACCAGGATCAAACACATGTTTACAGGGTTCTACGTTGAGATGTAGTTTGTTTAAACAAACTTTGTAGGGTTACTGCACTATCAGCGATATTGCACGCTTGTAGTTGCTTCCAGCCTCACCCAGCTTATCTCACCATGAGCGGAAAGTCAGGTTTCAAAGCTGCTCACTTCTTGAACTCTCGTTTGGCTCTCGTTTGACCGTACTATCCACGGCTACAATTCCTTTCCGCAACTTTTCCGTTTGTTTCCGACGACATCGGTGGCGTTGAGGCACTAGGTTGCTATTAAATCGCGAGTTGGATACCCGCCTATTGGTCTGGAATTTCTCGACCGAGGAGGACGGCTCTGACTCTAAGGTGAGCGACGCCCAAGCAGCCTTGGTTTCAAATTAAGAAACTCGCTAAGCGCTAGCCTAACTTAGGTTTATGGCGATGTCACGGAGCGCACTACCTATTCACATTTGGAGGGCTTTGTCTGCAATTCATGTGCAACTCCTGTTGGACCTCGTGAGCAATTCGAACAGCCTCGTCTGGGTGTAATAGCAAAGACCATTGTGCTCAGATTTTATCTGCACTTGCATCTCATGCACAGGAACAGTGCGAAAAATCTAATTGTATAAGAAGTCTACACTTCTGACGTCTCTGCACAGAATTCAAGCTCGACTGCCCTGCCCACCACTAGTGCTGGTGACGGTGGGACTAACACTGGAAGTTCGAGCTCCACTGCCCCGCTTACCACCAGTGCCGGTGATAGTGGGAGTAACACTTCTGATACCCCTACAGCGACGACTACGAGCAACTCCGCTGTCGCTACCCTTGCGCGCAACAACTGTTACATCAGCGACTGTATTCCGGCAATACGTGGACCAGCCCTTCGCCTGGATGTGCGTTATATTGTTTACTTGATTGCCTCGCGACATCAAGTGATTAATCCTGCAATGCGCGCAGTCAACACCGGGATCTCATTGAACTCTGTGGATACTGCTTTAATCCTTGTGTTCGGTGCGTTTTTATTCTGTGCTATACTTCGGTGTATAACTGTTTGATTCCAGGTGGTTCTTGGTCGGGTAAGTGACTTGTCATGTTTCAAACCCAAAGGTATCTCATATCTTTCTTTTTTTCTGCAGCTAATGGTGCACCAAACGGCATCAAGCCAAATGCCCCTTTTTATGACTACATCCCGTCCATCATCAAGCCTCGTATATTCGCTAACGTCATCTTTGAACACGCAGCCCTGTAGACGACCTCCTCATTCAAAATGGCACATCAGCATGGATAATTCCAGTGAGCCGTGCTTTTTTCCTTCTCAACTCATATTTTCAGTTCCTCTGCACGATTCCTGTGTTCTTCCCAACCTATTTCACCAGATAACCAAATTGCTGACTTGGATGCCAGACTGTTCCTGGCGCGGTCATCGACGTGCGTATCTCGCTCTCTTCTCTTCCTCAGTTGGCATATTTAAAGTGATATCCGCCGTGCAGAAAACTCTCTACGACCCTGGGAGCCACCCCTCCGACTTCAACGACCAAGCGGATTTGTTCGTGTCCAGTGTGATCCGAACACGACGGTATTTGCTGTATTCCGTATGCATACAACACAACCTTGTATATCTGAGCTAACCGAATCACAGTCGGATCGGAAGATCTCACCTTTAAAGCTTTGGTATGCCGTCTACTCCCAGCTAACAGCCTCACAGCTGAATATCTTCTCCTGGGATCGAATTTTAACACAGTCTCCCCAACCTGATCTCCAGCCTGAAAAGCAAACTCATCGATGGTGTCGTCAGTATTCAACTCAACTTCTCGTCCTTGTTCCTTCCGTTGACTTTCATATTCAGAACACCCAAAATTACCTATTCATCGGCACAACGGGTACAGGGAACTTTTCGGCTCCGCACTCCGCTCATGACGTTGGAGAGCGCGTGAAGGAGCCAAAAAAAAGGTTAGGCGGATGCTACAGCCTATAAGACGAAAAGCAGGATTACACACCAAAATGAAGTCGTCCCGCTTCCTCGTGCGCCTGAATCCCATCCACCTTACGGTTCAATGCCGTGGTGCAAACGCAGAGGGGCGGGCCTGGCGCAAGGGCACGGAGACGTGGGGATGCAGGCAGAAATGTGTGAAGGGTGGCGTGGCAAGGGTCGGCACGGTGATGGACAATCACACAAACCAGATGCACACCAATCCCACTCTCTGCCTGAATCCCACTGTGGAGGGCAAAATAATGAGATTTGCCATCAAAAATGGGACTGGGCGAGTCCCAGTCCCATTCTTCTAGTATATACTCGGGGAGACATGAGCGTGGAAGCGGTTCAGACATAAAAAACGGCATTGATCCCCCTGCCGTAGCTTCTGATCACCGAGCCGAATTTCATTCAAATTCAACACAACACATTGTCTTAGGACCAGTACCATCCCACCAGCCGAAGTTTCCAACAATCAATGTTGGGGGCTCTTGTATCGAGCAAGTGGCCGGTTGGCTCGTCTGACCGGTTGCCCGGTAGGCAATAGTACACTGGGAACAAGATCTCGAGCATGAGTGCTTGCCGGAAGGCTGACAGCGGGACTGATCGCACGGGCTGTTGTGGCAGACCCAAGGCTCCTATTAGCACTCACCTATTATAATGCACAAATCAGTTTCAAAAGCCCAGGTGGATCAACGGCAGATCGTCCCTTCAACATAACATGATGCATGAGAGGATCCAGGTTCGAGTCCTCTCCTAGGCATTGAGTTGTGCATTGTTTCCTTTCTCTGTTTTTCTGTTTTTCTGTTCAACCGTAACAGAGGCCGAAGGAAGCACCACTGTGCAAGCTGGGTCTATCCCTTTTAAAAACTCACAGACTTCAGCCTGCTCTTTCCCAAACTGATGCACCTCCCAGTCACTTTAACTTCTAAGCACACCCACCTACCCACAAAAGCCTAGGTGGATCAAGGCAGATCATCCCTCTGACATTGAATGAGTGGAGTCTCTCATATCCAAGGGAAAGCAGAGGTTCAACTCCTCTCTTGGGCTCTGTTGCACTTCGGAGAATTTTCTTTTTCACTTTGACCCCCACCTTGACAGAATAACACCGAACCTGCAATGCAGCAATTCACACTCAGTCACACCTCGGGAACAAGATCCCGAGTGCCTGTGGGAAGAAAATTTCAAAGTTCCTCAAAATTGACGGCTGACTGTACAGGCTTCAGACACAACCATCTGGCCGTGCCTGAAGCCCCGAACGTATCCCGAGGTCATCTGGGCCTCACTGCACCTTATAATCGACCACAGATTGGCCTCCTCGGCAGAGACACCTCGTCCCCTGCCATATATGCACCCCAAAACACCTATATTTGCCGCTCTGTCCTGTACCACAGAACAGTGGCTGTGGATGTGCCACAGCCACAGATGGCTTTGCTGTGCCACGACCACCCAGCCACAACTGTTCCGTGGTACAGGACAGAGCAGCAACCATGTATGGGGATGTCCACTTTTCGCCATAAATTTCCTGATGAAAATGGCCTTGTGTGCTTGTATGCAACAAAGAGTGATTTGGGCGGCAGAATAACCTATCATAAATTTCAGCACACATTCAGAACAAGATAGAATTGTACAGGGGATTCCTAACCAAAATCCTTCACTCATGCGGTCTCAACACTGCATCTTTAACCACCAACTTTTCTTCCCCAGTAAGAGAAACATTCAGCTGTTCCAGATGTGCCATCGTTCTCACACAGGAATTCACATTATTTTCCCCTGCATCGAAACCATTTGAGCCATTAGCCATCAATTTGTGCAACGCCAAACAGCCATCAGATGGCTTGAATGGCTGCATCGCAAACTCTCTATTGCGTGCTCGGTGCTGTGCTGTCAAGGTGGGAGTCAAAACGAAAAGAAAAAACCTTTCACTGCAAATGCACAGCCCAGGAGAGGAGTCGAACCTCTGCCTCCCCTTGGATATCAAAGACCCAGTGACGACACTTATATGAGAGGGATGATCGATGATCTGCCTTGATCCACCTGGGCTTTTGACACTGGCTTGTCCATTTTATAGGTGAGTGCCAGTGTGAGGGACATTGGCTATCAATTTTGAGCGGGTCTACAAGTTTCTAGCCTTTTGTTCCAGGGTGTGGATTGCATGAAAGTCTACCCAATATCGCAAGCGACCGGGAGTCCAAAGAAATAGCAAAACAGGGGAACAAAATGAGACGCACCGAATATATGCCTCAGCTCGGGACTCGAACCCGACTCTCGATCCATCTCTACAGCACGCGTTGGTGTACGGACAGTGATCCACTGGGGTTTTATTCTCCTGAGATTTTGTCGGGTGCTGTTGAGGACGCTGGAGGAACCCGCAATTACTTACTCCGAGTCGAACTTTGACTTTGAGTTCAACCATGCCACGATGCGATGAAGCGTGCCAAAATGATGGGTCGATCCTGAGTAGGTTTGCAAGTGGGACCGACTCGTGCTCTTGGCGTCATTATGCCCAATGATTGGCTTGGATAAAATTGTCTCGCAAGCGGCGCTGTGTGGCCGAAGAAAAAACCAAAACAATATTCACGCCCAGCTCGGGTGTCGAACCCGATTCTGCACAGTGCATATACTCTCTGCAGTACGATCCAGTATAGTGGATCCAGTAGGCTTTTATTTCTCAAAATGGTTGACGGAAATTGTTGGGAACGCTAGCGCTGGAGGAACGCGCAATTAGCGAGGCGACGCGACTTTGAACTCTCTACATCCGCTTTGTCTCATACGAAGTGCTGAAACATTCGTGGAATCTCCAGGTACGCCCGGGTCTCTGTCCAGCGCTCAATCGCTGTCCAGCACCGACTTATTTAACCGAATTGGTGGGCCGCTTCGCGGCCCACCGCGCTCTTGTTAGTCTACAGCTTGTTGAAAATCTCCTGCAGTTTAAGATACGACGGCGAGCCTAGTCCAGTGGCCTTCATTTCGGAGTCAGTAAATAGATAATAAGAATCACCAGCAGAGATGTATACCGGGTCCCATCCCGACGTAGCGTTGAAACCCGGTGTAAATCCAGCACAACCCTGGGTGCCGCCTGGACCAAAATGTAAGTTTGTCGAAACACGAGAAAGAGCTCTGTCGCAGACCGGTTGTGATATCATTGAACGCTTCGGGATGTTGATATAGCCCAGGATTTAGAAATCCCAACGCGGGGCGTCCCGCCGCGATGCGCTCGTTGGTGAGAAGCGCAACAACACTCGCAAAAATGGCGGCACTGAGTTCTGTGAATTCTTGGCCATCGTTGATCGTTCCCCCGAGAACCCAAGGAACCAAATCAGTAGCAGAGACGTCAGGAACTTCAGGCAGTGTCAGTGGTCCGCCAGATCGAAATGACATGGAACGAACCAGCTCGACCAGAGATGTTGAAAGCGGTGGTCTGCGTGTTGTTTGTTGCTTCAAGGTACGCAGAAACCGCAGTGTCCTGGTACGCCGACCGGCTGAAGATGTTGGAGAATCCGCCTGAACGAGAACAAATATCAGACAACACGAGTCCCACTGAAGATAAATAAATCCCACCTCCACTGAACTCGGATACTGTTTCCTCGGGCTGGTTATTCGCAAATGAAGTCGTTCCTACCGCAGTGACGCTTATAGGCATCGTCAAGCTTAGCCTGTGAACTTTGAAGTTCACTGTCACAACTCACAATGGACATGACACCAGAAAAGGCGCATCAAAAGAATTGCAGGCGGGTCCAAGAAAACCCCCGGTGTCTTGGGTTGATCCAATAATGGAGACACCTCGAGCGGCTAGCTGCGCGTGTGCATTGCAAACAGAGCTGGCGGACTGTCAGATAAAACGGAGCAGAGGCAAGAGTACACGTACATTACAATCTGGGGGGAGAAACCGCTTTCGACGAAGCCAGAGCCCAATCCTCCGTTGAGTACGGTCTGAGGTGGATTTGGCAGCGAGGCCAAATAATGGGCTTGATCCAAAATCTCTGTGATTTGGTCATTTGGGAGTATCCCCGTCGAAATGAAAGTGACGGGGACATTGGTTGCCAATCCCACGGTCCATTGAGTGTGCCAATTCTGAATTAATCAATATATCGACTCATCGAGTAACAAAGACAACAACGAGACAGACCGGCAGGGCTGCGGCGCCGGCAGGAAGTTGGTTGTTGAGACCACCATCGAGGACTAACAAATCAAATGTTGTGTTGGGATTCATGTCTGGGCGGAATGTCTCTAGGAAGAGCTAAGCGTGGGTAGAATTTTAGGGGAGGGTTGACGCGGGTGAGAACGAAGGCAGTATCACCTTCAGATCGCGCTGGTTAGCGAATTCATTCTCAAAACCAGAGACTCCCAATACATTGGCAGCGGGACTCGCTGGGGTGGTCGGGATGCCATACAGTTCTGCTAATACGCAATGCGGAGTCAAATCCGTCCTTGCGCGACAATCGGCAGGGATGGACGTCGCAGGGGATGGGGCGCGAGTCGTCTTGGATCTCTTGCTTGACGGCAGATCTGCACGCATCGCAGGCGGGAAACTGTGAAGAGGTGAGTCGGCCAAATAGTATTGCAACCCTGGACATGCGCACTTGATAGTCGGATGCACCAAATCGATGTGGGCTTTGAGCTCACTAGGGATCGAGTACGAGAGGGTTCGCACGATGGTTTGATTAGTACCCTTGTTCTGAAAAGTCCCGAAATTCGCCGCCAGAAGAGAATTGGCCTGCGTGACGGTCATGTTGGCCGCGATCCAGTCGCCCGCCGCGGTGAGGGGCGCCGCCGTGATATTATTGGCTCCAAGCCAAGAATTGACCTGGGAGAGTGTGGTGGCTGAAGGCGTAACATATTCCGCGACCTGCAGTTGGTTTGTAAGTATCATCGCAGGGTTGTTTATGGGAAGGCTACCTCATATACTGTCCATAGCGGTCATTTCCTGGGGTGCTGATTTCGTAGATCGTGTCGTGCAGACCCTGGATATTGTTTTGAGCAAGCGCAAAGCGCAAAGTGAGAAAGTCGGTTGCTGAAGGTGACCCGATGCGGAGGAAATTAGAGGGTGCAGTCTCGCGCTTCTCGTGCAGGACAAGGTCGCCATGTACAGGGAGAATGAGAGTGAGGAGTAGCGCAAGATATTCGCGCATGGGAGGCCGACGGTACAATGAGGAACGAATGTTCAATCGCGCGCTCACTTTAAATACTTACCTTCCAGTGTGTGGCACACGCAGGCTTCTCGTGGCCGATCCGCGAAGAAATAGACCGTCGGATCGCAGTATTATTAGAAACATGAATGATAGGTGCCACGGCGGACTGCTTTGTCTCTTCTTTTCTTTGGGGCAATGGATGCGGGGAAGATTTCCGCAAGATTTGCGTCGGAGTGGGTATGTAGGTAGAGGTGGGAATCATGCGGCACTACGGAGTATTTGCCGCATACCGTCAGAGCAGTAATCGATCGCTTGTGTGTCGAGAAAAAGCATAGATGCAGGGCAATAGATGCAGGGCAATGACTCACGTCCATCAGAGTCTCTCGAAGGCTCAGAGCCCAGCGTTAGCATCAAACAGTGAAGGGAACCAGAAGCGCTCCGTCAAGAGAGGAGTTATGTACGCGGACATCCGCAGCAGAAGTAGTCGGTGCTGCGGCGCCAATCTGCCATCGGTACGGTGCAGATGACCGTCAATTTACCATCTGTTGCCTGAGGAGTGGGATCAAACATTTCGGTGTATCTTGCCCGACACACGAAGAATTCCAGGAAAGGTCCAGTACCGGATGTCCTGGGAATCCACAGTTCGCACTGGAGTAGATTCGCGGTATCTGCCGGGGATCCCAATTCAACCGGCGTCATAGACGGGGATAGTCTTCTCCATATGGCCGTTCCGTCGGTGGCGGGCGTTGCTAGGGAATTAGGGCTGCACGCCGTGCCCGTCGCGCCGGTTCTACGGGGTCCGGCGACGGGCATACCGTCCCGTTCCGTGGGCTCTTTCGCTGCATTTTTGACGGCCGTTCCCGTCGAAAACGGCCGTCGACGGGTCGACGGGTCCTGAAAACACGCCATAAACGGTTG